GGTGATTAATGGTGAGAAAAAAAATTAAAACTTATTTGCCTTTTAATCTCTTACTACAGAGGAGCAAATATGTCAAAATATAGTAAATTAACATCCTTCCCAATGACATCCAAAATTGATAACCAGAGGGTTTTGATCAACAATGAACCACTCTAATTACAATCCAGCCATTTTAATAATACCCTGTTCATTTGTTTATTTTATTAAGAACAAATAAACATAACAGTTAAATCACAGATTTTTTTTTTCAACTGGTTTCATAACTTGTTAGAAGTGCAGCATCCACCGGCTCCATGCAAGATGGACAAGTAAAACTTCTCATAAGCCAATCATCAATGCAATGGACATGATATATATGCATGCATGGTAAATATCGCACATTATCACCAACCAAAAATTCCATCATACATATTACACATCTGAAAACAAAATAAATATAATTAATCAAAATTTCATAGGATTTGATGAATTAAATTTAGAATATTTAAAAACAAACAACAAAAAATATATTTTTTAAATAATTAAAAATTTGTTTGTAAGTATAGTATGAACCCTCAAAAGTATAGGTACTGGTGAGGAAGACTAGTATGGCAAATGAGCTTCGTAGTCCTTTTTGCCATTCCCTGACAGCTATCTAGAAGTTGATGTCATGTTAAGAATCATTTATGCCAATGGGTTAGTTAAAAGCCCAGGGATCCATACCAACAACCCACAACATTCCGAAACGGGCACTCAGAGACCATCATCCCAAAATGTTGAGCCATCACATCCTCTACAATTGATTGTAAAAGTAATTTAAACAGAAGTTAGTTGGGAGGTGCAGTCATAGAGGAAAACAGACTTGTAAGTACAACTAATTTTTAATGTGTTACAATGTTTTGGCAAAGTTACTGGGAAAATGTGCGATATTAAACATTTCAACATTTCAAATGAACACGTATTTGATTTTGACTACAGATGGGCAGGTAAATCAAAAATCGAATCCAAGTGACCTCTCAAGCAATTTACACGAAAGAATCACGATTCACACGGAATCGGTCGATTTCACGGGCGGATCTACGGAGGGAGGGAGGGGGGGTTTGGGGCTGAAGCCCCCCCCCCCTCCAAAATGGTAAAATATAACCATGTTTTATGGGGAAAAAATTAAAAAATTATCTCTTAAAGTATTATTGTTCGTGTAATTACATTTAAAATGACTATAGGAATCACTTAAACACCATTTCATATAGGTAGTTAGTTTCTCTTTTTTTCCAAACTAATTATCGTTATTTTTATGAATAAAAAAAGCTTTCGGGCTGAAGCCTCACCCAAAATTAAATCCTGGATCCGCTAGTGGTCGATTTAATAGGTATTATTAAAAAGAAAAGTACAAAAGAGAAAAAATAACTCTGTACATATATAAATAAACCAAACTGAGAGAAAACAAAATTAAATACTTACATAATAATAGGTAATTAAAAATACAAGTATAAGAAAGAAAAAAAAACTGTAAACATATAAAACATCTGGTGCGGTGCGCGCATCACACAACTTCCACTCACCACCTTCTTATAAGAAATAAGTATTTTGAGACAAAGGGGAAGAGGAAGTAAACATTATAAACGCTATATTGATTTATATTTCATTGTAGATATTTTTGTTTGTTTAAGTACACTTATATATTTTAATATTTATATCACTGTAATCTATACAATTTAATTTTTAATAATACCAACGAAAACATTTAGAAAAACCGTATATGTATATGTACATAATATAATCGGAGTCTGTATTTTATTATGCTCATGTTACGTTTGGAAGCCTGTCCTAATCTTCCGGTCAGCTCGGGTGTGATCGGCCGCGCTCGTATCCCTTTGGTTCCTTCATTACAACTATTCTCTGTTACGATCTCATATTTCGCCTTTAGTTAATTATCAAATTTTTTCATAGTGTATATTTAACTATTTTTTATATTAGAGATCAATATGAAATGGTTAATTATTTCAAATAAATAAAATTAAAGGTAATTTAAAGGAAGTTAATATTGAAAATTAACCATTTAAGCCCTGTTAGAGAAAATCAATGGGAATAAAACCTACATAATATTAAACACTGCTTAATTTTACACTGATTTAATGAATTGAATCAGAATCGTTGGAGCCGTTTTCGAGAAAATAGTAAAAATGTGTTTCATTGATTCATTGACTTCCGGTAATTCGATTTTGACGAAAAAGTTGCTGTAACATCTCAGGTATATACAAATCTTAAATATGCAATTTCACTTTCATACGACTTTTCGTTTTTGAGCTAGTCCAATCAAATGCATACAGACACACGTACACACGGACCATTTTGTGGGACTTTTTTATTTGGACTCAGGAGAGCTCAAAACATGTATTTCCGTTGAAATCTCAGATTCGAAAATTTTCACGATCGCAATACTGTCTCTTACAATATATTTCATATATAGGAAAATGAAAGTAATAAAACAAACAGAGAGAAAAAATAAACAAATAAACCAAATTGTGATATAAATAACCATGGGTTATAAATATCTGAAGTGTGAAATGTTAAATTAAATATTTGCGTAAAAATAGGTAATTAAAAATGAATGTAAAAAAAAGAAAAAAACTGTACACATATATAAATAAAACAACAGAGAGAAAAATAAACAAAATAATTAAGTAAATATAATATATAATAAGTATATAAGGTAATAAGCGTAGTGCGGAATGCTAGTAGCAGAGTAGATTCAGAAAGTAAACAAACAAACTCAGCAAACAATGCAATAAGACTGTAAGATTTCCTAGAACAAACTAGTGATGGGGCGGAGCTGTGATTAGGTCACAGTGACTGGACCGGAGATGGTGATCACAGTAACAGCCTCACTGAAATCACAGTGACAGTCACTGTAAGTGCTGTGAAATCACTGTACTCTAACAGTGATTGTTGGAAGTGACAGTGTTGGAAGGAACAGTGCGCTGTGACATGACTGTAATCCAGCAGTGACGATCACTGTTGGCGCTGTGAAATCACTGTGCTCCAATAGTGATGATCACTGTTGGAGCTGTGAAATCACTGTGCTCCAACAGTAACAGTCACTGTAGGCGCTGTGGAATCACAGTTCTAATGACTCCGTTTCATCACTCCTATCGCTCCAGCGATCTGTGCATTGTTGACATCATTTATTTAATAAAGGAATAATCATGGAATAATTATTTCTAAATTAATAGTTATTCGTCAATTTTATTATAAGTACTTTTCGGATGACTTAAACATTCATTCTAATAAAGCCGTGTATTTTTGAATGAGTTATGTCTGATATAAATAACGGAAAGTTTTTCATTCACTCTTTTATTTATTACTTGATTAACATTTATTTTGTAATTAAATAAGTTTCCAAAACCGTAAAATAAATTTCCGAAATAATTACAGTTCTCAAAAGAAGTTCAAAATCCATGAATAGTGAAAATATATAATAATATAAAATCATTACTATCATGGGTGATAAATATTCAGAACGCAGTCATTATAAAGTTTTTATTAGTGCCGACGTTTCAACCCAGATATGTGGGTCATCATCAGTGCTCGAACCACGCCCTGATGATGACTCACATGTTTGGGTTGAAACGTCGGCACTACTAAAAACCTCATAATGACTGCGTCCTTAATATTTATTTATCCTGAATATGTCGACTAACTTTCTTCAATAATCATTACTATCGTTAACCTACCTTCCTATTATCACCACTAAATTCTAAACAACCAATCACTAATAACCAGCCAATTATAATCAAATAAAATTGTAAAAATTATTTAACTGTTGCAATATAAATGAAAAATAAGAATTTCAAATTAAATAAATTCAAATATTCTCTGCAGGGCTGTATACAAAAGCCAAGAGATCCCAGATATATATTTTTTCCCGTCATATATTAAATTTATTACTGAAATCTTACCTTCTCATTAATAATGAATGTACCAAAAATATTGTTTAAAGATATTACGTAATTATTATTATTCAGCGTAGTGAAGTAGCGACCCCATCGCCCATCATAGTACCGCAGACAGCCACTGGCCTTCCAGGTTGGGAGAACAGTACACTCACACTCATACAGTACAATAATACAGCACACTGCACTCACCCACAACAAAGTTCCATTAACAGTACACACCCTGGGGTTACCTTCCCTAGGTAGTCGCCACGGAAGGGGAGCAGGATCGGATGCTCTGAGGTGGTAGCACCACCATCGGTCTAGGTTGCGGAGTGGATTGATTGCCCCCCTCCCCCGCCCGAAAATTAATTCATCTCAAAATCTCAAATAGAACATAAAGATAGATCTCAACAGCGACAACTCCGGAACTGTGTAAAGGACTTTAACCTAGGAACATGGAATCTTTTACGTTGTATAGATCCGGAGCTCTATATAAGTTCTTGGAAAACATCGACAGGTACCAACATAGGCGTGGCTGCACCCCAAGAAGTTAGATGGATTGGAGAGAGATCTTTGGAGAAAAGACACAACACCATATATATTATAGCTGTAGTGGAAATCAGCACACATTCGGTACTGGGTCTGTGATTGCAGGAAAATTCCGCAAACTGGTGATTGATTTTAAAGCTGTAAGTTCTAGAATCTGCGTACTTCTGATCACGAGGTAAATTTAAGAACTATGGCATTATTAGCACGCACGTTCCAACTGAGGTGGCCGATGAAGAAACTAGGGATGAGTTTTATGATCTGCTCGAAAGAACATACGACTTATGTCCAAGATATGATGTCAAAATCATCGCAGGTGACATGAATTCAAAAATTGGACAAGAAGGAATCTATTGACCTACAATTGGAAGCCACAGTCTTCATAGACATTGCAATGATAATGGTCAAAGATTAATATATTTCGCTGCCCCAAGCAGATTTGTGATAGGAGGCACCTTTTTTTCTGCACATAGATAAACGTTAAGACCAGACGGGCCCAAAAGACAAAAAAAGTATACCGTTGATGGTCTAAGATCAGAATCAACAACTCAGGAAGATTTCGCTAAGGCCATTGAAAACAAGCTTCGAGAAGTGGAGATAGATGAAACTAGTGATATAGACTGTAGATGGGACAAATATTGCAAGGTAATCAAGCAGGTGGCTGAGGATATCCTCGGAGAGCGGGTGAGAGAATTCAGAACCCAGCGACTCGATGAGGAATGTAAGGTCGCTACGCTACCGAAAGAAAGAATTTGGCGTATAAAAGAGAAGAATACCGCCGACTGAGGAGGGAAGAAAACCGTATCTATCAAAAGAAGAAAGGGAAATGGGAAAATGATAAAATTGCGTCGATAGAAAGCCTCAGGATTGATAATCAGATCAGAAAATTCTATCATGAAGTTAATAGAATTGATAAGTTAATTGATGGCATTAACAGAGAACAACTCTATAATGTGATGGATGAACTGAAGTTTCCTAAGAAACTAAACCGCCTAGCTCGACTCACAATGATCACGGTGGAATGTAAAGTGAGAATCCACGCTGGGGTGTCAGTGTTCTGTGCAAGAAAAGGGGTAAGGTAGGGAGACTCGTTGGCCTGCCTCCTGTTTAATGTAGCACTTGAAAGTTGTCAGAGACGCACGAATACAGCTGGGTATGACCATCTTTAACAAGTCAATACAAATCCTGGCATACGCAAACGATATTGATATCATCGGGAGATCACTTCGCGGCGTAAAGGAAGCTTTTCTGGCTCTTGAACAGTCTGCGCGGAAGGTGGGACTGTCTATAAATAACAGCAAAACCAAGTATATGGTTGCTGGCATAAGTGCACCACATTTCCAGATCTCGATTGGTGACTACACAATCTAAACGGTGCAACGATTTGTTTATCTGGCCCCCAAGTAAATACCGACAACGATGTGTCAGAAAAAATATCTAAGAGGATCCTGGCGGCAAATAAATTTTATTTTGGCCTGTGGTGGTATTTAAGTAGTCGTTTAATCTCCAGGAAAACAAAAGCGACTCTGTACAAGACGCTGATTCGTCCTGTTCTTACATATGGAGCGGAAACGTGGAGCTTCTCCAAAACAGATTCACAGTGAGGCTGTCGCCAAGGAGGCGTTGTATACTTATTGCCGGAAAAAAAGTCACTATGATTTTCCCGGAGCTGTGACAGAAAATCTCTGTCAACCAAACAACCAAACACGAGAACAAACCCGGTAAATCGATCCATTCGATTCACCGATTCAGTTGAAATTGGCGATTCCGGATTCCTCAGGAATCGGCGATTCTCGATTCCTTTGGAATCGGCGATTTTCGACTCCATTGGAATCTGTGATTCCTGTTTCATTAGGCTTCGGCCCATTCCCGATTCACAAGAGATCGGTCGATTCACCGGTTTTGTTCTAGAAAATCTTCCAGTCGTGTTCCATTGTTCGGTTGTTATGTTCACTTTCTGAATCTACTCTTCCACCAGCATTTCGTATTTGGACATTTATAACCTAAGCTTATTAACATCACTATTTTATTTATTTTTTATGTCTGTTTTATTTATGTATATGTACATTATTTTCTCTCATATATTTTACTTTTAATTGCCTGTTATTATATAAATATCTAATTTAATGTAATTCTATATTATCATGTTTTATTTATTTTGTATATATAATTTGTTCTACAGTGTCATCAGTCCCAGGATAATAAAATTATATTTTATTCTATTTCATTTCATTTACTATTTACATACACACAGGTCAAAATGTAATATATATATATAAAAGTGTTCTGTCTAATTTAAACTTCCTTCCTATTTATAAGAATCATGACCTTTTATTTGGAACTTTTAATTTCAATAAGTTAAAAAAAAAAACGTATTTGTCTAAATAAGCATAAGGTTTGAGAATGTTTGTTACTGTTTTTTTTCTTCAATAAAACGTTCTTTTTTAATTTAAAGAAAAAAAGAAGATGAAAAGATCAATCGAATAATCGTACATAAGAATCGATTCATTACAATGCTTGAATTGATTCATTTAAAAGAATCAAATTTCCCATCTCTAATTTTGACTTCTATCCTAGACAGTCCTCAACCATAACAAACAACTGCTTTCAAAAACATCTATAATCAATTAGAATCCATTTCTTCATTTCTTCAACGGGGACACAAAACATCCCTACACTATTTTCAAAATTTAATTTATTTTATTTTATTTTATATGTGTAGTTAAAATTCTTCTTTTTTTCTCACGCTCCACATGAGGACATCTCTACTATACTTCCTTTCACTCATCACTCATCCTTCATCTTTCCAGATTGTCATTTTTGTATTATGCCCAGTGATTAAAACCATTCACTTTGATAGGCGTCACCTCGAACAATTATTTAATAAATTGAAACATTGTAGAGAGAAACTCACTAAATTGATTTTAACAAAAAAATAGAAAAACATGCTGCTACTGAAAAAGCCAACATATGAGACAAAGCAAAACAAAAAGAAATTCTTAGGCAAACCTGAATATCAGAACACTTAAGAAGCTGTTTATGAACAAAAATAGTGACTTAAACAAACATAGATGATGAAAAAAGAAAATCTCAGTAATAACCCAAATAGGAAAAAAAAATTCTCAAAACAGACCAGCATAATAGTGTGTCACAAAATAATATACTAAGTCTGAGGATTACCAAGACTAGGCTAAAAAACATATAATCATAATTTTCTTTCATGATTCTCTATTCTGTTTTTATTTCTTTTTCTCTTTCATCCCTTCCTACCTCAAAACACTTTTCCCATGTTCTCTATTAAATCATCATCTTCCAAGTGCAGAAGATTTTATTCATTTGATAAATCTTTAAATGACTTTATGCTTACCATAAAAGAAACTGAAAAAGGGAGTCCATTTTTTCTATTATTAATTATATAAGATAAAAACGAAAAATTAATCAATATGAACAAATTCCACCTCTGGAAAAAGAAAATGATTCTCAAAAACGGAAGAATACTAGGCAGGAATTGTTTAAATTTAGTTAGGCTATCATATGTCTTTCTAATTCAGCTCAGCTCAATATTTTCTTTCTTCTCTTAATATTTATAACCTTATTTGCTTTAGGATAACATACATGATGGTTATGTATATACATGAACATATATTTTTACCACAGAGAATTCTTTCGACATTAGTAAAGAAACATGGTCATAGGATTGCTCTATAAATTTTAATGATTTTGTTATAGGTAAATAAAACTACTAAAGCACATATAATAACTAGATTTTCTCTTAGATATTGTTGCCCGAATTTCAGGCTTATGAATGGTTCAAAAATTCCAGCAGAACATTGTAAAAGATACTTTCAATGCATCCAGAAGGTGAAAGAAAAGATTTAAGCTTGTACAACATTAAAGAACTCTTGATAGACAGGAAACAACTATGAAGAGAAAACATAATAGTAATGTCTTTGTAGATTTAAAAGCCATAATGCTTAACCTTAATGCTGATAAAATTATTGTACACACAAAACATGAGTTTTCAGAAGTTTTTAATCATTAATGTTTTTTTTAAAAATCAATCAACATATTGACAGTCTTGTTTGAATATAAAAATTTATTGCCTCAGAATTTTTTTTAAACTGCAATTAAAAAACTCAAAAGTAATGGAGTAAGTATACCATACATTGAAGCAAATTACATTATAAACATAAACTATATGTATTTATATAAAAAATGGAGATTGATCATTCACAGATCAATTTTTTTTTATCCTAATAAACTACAATCAGAATTAATCTATTTATTTTTAAAGAATGATAAAATTTAACTCACTCTCTGTTTTTCTTGCAACCATCATAACTTCCAGTTGGCAGGTGTTGAATTAATCCTAAGCGTTTAGCAATTTTGATTTGTTCCTCTTCTGTTAGTTGGTTTACAGGTCTGCTGATGTTTGGAGAAGGATAGTATACTGGGACGGCTTCCTATAATTACATTGCAATTAAAATTTAAAATTAAAGAAATCATAACTAAAAAATAATGATACTATAGTACTAATTCTGATAGATATAAAACCTCTCCTTGCCACAGTATACTATTTATCCTCTTCCCCTTCAGGAAATGAAACAATATTAGAAAAATATCTTTCAATTCCCTTATCATAAAATTGTGACTTCTGGTTCTTGACTAACAGGTAGAGGTTACAGATATTGGATCACCAATTTCAATGTAATTTTTTTGGTGATACTAGGTCAAAAAATATTAGACATAAATTTTATAATATTTTATTATTTTTTATATTACTTATCTGACTTTGCTAAGCATGGATAATAATGGCAATGTATAATAAATTACGATAGTATAATAAATTCCAGTAACTTAAAATTCCAGTAAGCAAATTTCTGATAAAAAAAAAAAAAAATCCAGATTGGTTTTTAACGTCCACTTGAAAACTTAAATACGAATCTGTATTGAAATTAAAAAATATAAATTTTTTAAATTATAAATTAGTATAAACTTGGCTGCTTGGTGGTGTCGACATCGAATCTTCGGGTCCGCTAAGCCATTTATTATTATTATTATTATAAATTAGTACTGACCTAAGGACTAAAGTAGGTTCAAATAATTTTTTAAGGAATAACAAAAATGATATTCGTTTTTCGCACATCTAAAAACCCATAAATTTAAATCGAAAACGAGTTTTCGTTGGAATAGAAAAATTTAAATATTTTGCTCAATATTCTGCCTTCTATTAATAGCTCTTATGAAATCTATTTATGTTTGTAGCTCTCATTAGAGTAAATTTTAATTATTTTTCGAATGAAATAAAAGCTTCCGCAATATTATTAAGTGTATTTTCTAAGTTACTGCTTCAAATATTTTAAAAAGTAATCAATGTTTTAGAAAGAAAAATGTGCCCTCAAGATGTTTTATTTTAGACGTTTTTCATTACTGTTTGTCCTTCATTAAACTCGATTTTCAACTTTAGTTTGAACGACTTGAAAAACTTGACTTTACTGGTGTTTTTTATTACAAAAGCCAATTATGTTTCAACATATTATCATTTTTTATTATTCTCTATCTAGCTTTAATAAAAGGCCAATTATGACAAAATTAAACCAAATGCCGAACATTAGGGACCGAAAAACTAACTCAAGTCAGAGACGCCAATCTGCCATGTTCGAACGCCATTTTGGGTAAGTGCGGCCACTTTCTTTTATGTGAACATTGGCTTTTTTTTTTAATAAATAGTTACAAGGAACACAACGATATGCAATTTATTGGAATGTGGGGGGAGGGGTACACGGTAGGGGGTCTGGCCCACCGTGTAACATACTTTTCAAAACACCTCCCGACTAAAGTCTACCGTACCAGTCAATGGCTCATTATCTTAAAAAAAACTCAGAATTCCCTGGACCAGATTAAAAACACTATTCTGAAGAAATCGAAATGGATAAATTTTAAAAGCTCGATAGTTCGCTTGCTGTTGGGTTTAGAAAAAAAAAATTATGTGCAAACATGTTAGGTCATTTTAATTTGTTTAAGATTGAATATAACCATTTTTTATCTATGTTGCTCGAAAAAGGAGATATTTAGCATAAACCAAAAAAAGTTCGAAATTTCAATCGATCTTTTGCAAGGAAGATATTCGATAAGAAAATAAGAATAAAAGAATGCATTAACGTATTATACACATTTTATACTACGAAATAAACTTTTTGGGGATGAACAAAGATGATATTTGTTTTTTCACACCTCTAAAAAACATTACAAACGAATTTTTGTTGCAATAGAAACACGTAGTAATTTATTTTAATATTCTGCCTTCTATTAATAGCTCTTATGAAATTCATCTGTTTGTAGCTTTATAGTGAATATCAGAAGAGCAAAATATATTTATTCTTCGATTGAAATGAAAGTTTCCACATTATTACAGATATTTAACAGTTGCAATATCTATCATAAAGCGAAAAACGAATACCATTTTCGTTCATCGCTAAAAAATGTATTTCAAGGTATAAAATATTCATAATACGCCAATGCATGCTTTATTCTTATTTTTGGATCGAATCTCGGCAAAATATTAGATTTTGTGCATGTAATCGTAATTTCGATACTCGTCCGGCTTAGAACAAAATATATATGGAGCATAGATCAATGGTATGAGTAAAATTAAATAATTAATACTGACCTAAGGAGTACAGTGGGTAAAAATATTGTTTTAAGGGGAAACGAAGTTGGTATGTGTATTTCTCAACTCGAAAAACTCTAAAATACAAATTTTCATACCAATAGAAAATAAACATTTTTGCTCGAAATTTCCGCCAATCTGGATTTTTTTTTCGAAAATTGTGATAACTTCAGACATGGTCCCACTCATCTACACGAAAATTAGCATGGGTTTAGAACCCTTTATTATAAACAAAATGGTACAAGACAAGACGCCCACAAATAAATTAGGCTTGGGGATAAAAAATAAAAAACATTTGAGGAGTTATTCTTTATTTATTCTTATAAATCCAAAAGTTATTTATATGGTTCTGAACCTGTTCTGATAAAAATCTGAATTGTTTTTTCTTGACAAAAATTTACTTGGCCTACGTTACTGAAAGCGTTAATGGGTTGTTTTTGTGATTTATTACACATAAAAATTCATTAAATACAACCAGCAATATGTTTTCCTTATTTTACAATTAAAAAAAATTCATTGATAAATAATAATAAAAGGCTTAGAGAACCTGAAGATTCGATGCCGATATCACCAACCGCTTATTATACAATTCCCTCCACCGTTCGCCGTCCAAACCCCAGTCCCTTCAGATCGGCCTTAACTGTCTACCCCTCCGACGTTTAACAGTCGGTACAGCAAATATTAACCTTTTAAGAATTATTCCGTTACCAAGGCCAACAATTTTAAAAGCCCATTTGATTCGCCACGATGTAAGCACCTCAATTATATTAACCGAGAACAGTTCACGCAATTTGGAGATGTGTAATTTACGAACGTAGTAAACTGTAGAACAATTTATATCTCACCTCTAATTTATAGCTCATCTCGATATTCAAATGAAAATCAAATTATTGTTTAATGTATCGCCTGACAGACTCAGTTTAAAGAGTGCCACGGGTTTTTATACTTACTTCCTAGAAAATGTTAAAATGTTTTGTGAAACTGAAAAGGACAATTTTACTCTGCTTTGAGCCAAGTGGCAAAGCAACTTCAAGATCTTCTCTCCTGTTTTTATTGTTTTGTTTTTTTCAAATCTAGACCTCATTCACCTTTAATACAGAGAACAATTATTCTATTAGAAGCCTTGAAGTATTTTTTACAATCTCACTTGCTAGTGCATTCGTTTTCCAATTAAAGTCAATTTTAACTGGGGAAAGACGTAACAATGAATATTTTGCTCATTTAGAGACATAAACGTCTATATTGTCCTAGTATTGCATCTGTTTTTAGTATAATGATGTAGAGATGGTTGACCGTTGATATAATATGAGGAGTTGATTGGGGGGTGCGGTCAAATAAATACTAAATTAAAATATAGGCAAAAATAATTACTATATTTTAATTTAGTATTTATTTGACCGCACCCCCCCCCCCCCGATTAACTCCTTCTCATGTTTTTATTATACTTTTGTCTACCTTTCCTTAGCCCTTAGCCCTTAGATGTTGTTTATTACTTCTCTTTTTTCTTCAATGTTTACCTAACCACCTAAACTCAATCTGGCCTCACAGCGGATAAGACTGAGCTCTCATCAGTACAGTCCTAGCATGACAACCTTTTTTATTACTTGATAACTTTCCTCACCTGGACACCTCCTGGGTTTCTTTTTTAAAATCATGAGCCGAGGCAAGAAGATCTTAGATCTTTTACGAAATATGGATTCTTCAGCCCCTAATGTATTCACGAATGTTTTATACATCAAATTTAGACATTTATGCTAAAAAAAGTCCTAAGTGCCTATCTTCACAAGTAATAGTTCTTCTGCAGCTGTAAAACGTATTTTTCCCCAATTCTAGACACAGGGAGAAACATTACTATGAATAACTTTTTCACATTCATTCCTATAGCAGACATTTTTTTTTCTTGCTGAAGAAAAACAGAACATCATAGGGACGCTTTGAAAGAATAAAAAGGAGCTACCTCCAATATATTGAAATTCAAAAGAACGAGCAGAAAAATAAACGTAGCTTGTTTGGCTTCCATAAAGATAAAGTTATTGTGTCTTACAAATATAAAAAAATAATAATGTACTACCCTCAGAACTGAAGGATTTGAAATTATCATTGGAAACCCAGGCATCTATCACTTTCCAAAGTTTGGACCAATAGAAAAAGATAAGAGTCGCTTCTGGAAACACAAAACTCCAAAATAGATGAATGAATGAATGAAAATAATTTTATTATTCTGGGACTAGTGTCCCTTTAGAACAAGTCAGAAATACAGAATATATATTAATAATTTGGTGTGTCCATGAAATACAATTTAATATTTACAGATTGATTCGGAGTACAATAAAGTTATAAATACGTGTAAATACAAAATATACAGAGAAAGTAATTAAGTGAACGAAATATCGACGAATTTCAAAATAATCAGAGTATCTGGGTGTACTTTGAGGTTTTTACAGCTTAGGTTTTTAAGTGGATTTCGTGATAAATCGGATTGGGAATGGAGTAGGTGTTCAAAGAGGAGAGATTTGAAAGAGGATATCGATTTTGCGTGTCGAATATCTGAAGGTATAGAGTTCCAGAGGGAGACAACTTGTATTAAAAAGGATTTATCAGCAGTTCTTTGAGGAGGAGAATAGATGGATTGGTATTAGATTATTCGACTTTAAAAACAAGAGTTTTGGAGCTTGAAATAAAACCAAATAGATCCGAGCAACAGCACCTGGCCAGGACCGCGGAGATTAGAGGAATTCCGGCGAGACCTGGTGAAACCTCAATGGGCCTGGTAATGAATGTGGGCGTAGCATA